TATGTGCCTAATAATCAAATTTAAGAAGATGATCTTAGAAGAAGGACATAAAAGTAATCTTAGTATTCACACAAGAGTCATGATGATGTATTGGGACCTTAGGAAGGTGTTCTGGTGGTCTAAGATGAATAAAGAAGTAGAAAAGTTTGTGTATTTGGGTTTAGTATACTATAAGTCTAAAGTAGAATATCATAATAAGCCTTTAGAACTTTTGCAACCTTTAAATGTCCTTGTTTGGAAGGGGATAATGCATCTATGGACTTTATTGTGAGTTTACCTAGGACGTTTAGGAAGAATCCTAAGTTTAATAAAAGAGTCATATCTAAACCTCTTCATTCAGGAAATTCGGGGACGAATTTCTTAAAAGGAGAGGAGTATTATAACATCCCATTTTTCAAAAATACTATTATTATTATATAGTATTGGTCAAAATTATTTTATTATTATAAGAGAATATTATTTTGTACGTATTAAATAAGTGTTTTTTATTAGCATTTTAAATGATTATTTGTGTGTTTTAAGGGATAATTTAGAAGTTGATTAATTATATATTTTATTATAAAATCTAAAAGGTTGATTTTATAGGATATTTTGATATTGAAACTATATTATTATATTTTGGGTCAGAAATATGTTATTATTATTATTAGGGAAAAACTATTTCATATAATATATTTATTTAATTATTTTTGGGGAAAAGAGAAACAAGTCAAGAAGAGAAGGAAAATGAATTGAATTGACCATTATTTTTAAGAAATGGTCAAATAGAGTTAACCCTAACTGCCTCATTTTACGTTATGAAAGATTAGAGGAAAAATAGAGAGCTTTGAGGAAGAGTGCTCAGGAATAATCTCATTTGGCATTGAGAGAAAAGGAAATTTTTGTATGTGAAGTCACATGAGAGAATGGGTAGAGGGAGGGAGTTCCCTAGAATTCTTAGTAACTTTATAATGTTTTCTATTTATATATTTGGTAATTCGGATGAATTCTACTCGTATTGGTGGTGTTAGATGTTAAAAATCGATGTTCTAAGAGAGAGATTGAATTAATTGAAATGTGTATCTGAATTAGGGTTCATGAGGGATTGGGTTTTATCAATTGGTATGTTATTTTGTGAAATTGATGATTCAATCAGGTTTATATTGATTTATAAATGTAGTTGTTATATTATTTGATAAAATTGAAGATGTAAATGATAATTAAATTCATTGGAATGTGCTATGTAAATTAGGGTTCTTGTAAATCGATGAGCACTCTTAGTTATATAAATTAATGTGTAATCGAGAGATTTTAGTTATGGAAGTACCTTAGTATTTTTGTAATATCTTTTTGTGTGATTAATCAAATCAATTTCTATTTATTCGGTTAGAAATTAGACACTTAGGGTTATAATTTAGACTCTAAAATCGTGTAAAAATGTTAAGAATTATTTGAATTATGAGAGTTATAAGTTTAGTCTCCATTATAGTGCGTTAAATATTAAGTTTTGTGTTGTTAGTCATGTGAGGTGACCGTAACGACATTTTTAGGCTTCATGTTTTTCACAAAAGTTGTAACTTTGGATGTTAGCTTTCTAATGACTTTGGAATTACTCAAAAATGATGTGTATAACTCAAGTTATGGTTATTTTAGTGAATAAAGATCAAGTTGTCAGCATGGATTACATCTGTTTTGGTTTTTTTTTTTTAATTTCAGCTAAGTAGATGATTTTTTTTAGAATTTCGTGTCTTCATAAAAGTTTCAGATTATCCTCTTATATTTCTTTTGAGATAGATTTGAGTTTATTTGAATGAGCATAACTTTCTATGTGTTATTTTCTCTTATATGCATGTTGTTTTGATGTTCTAAGGTATTATCATGTGGATTAAAAAGTGGTTTAAAGTTGTATGATACTATGTTGTAGAGTTGGTTCATATATTTATGATGATGTGATGTGAATTCATGGTGAATTGCGTGAGGGGTATGTGAACTATTGTTTTATGTGGATTTATCCATATTATGTATGTGATGTGGAATTGAGTTGTGGACTATGGTGTGATGTCTTGGCACAAATGTATGCATGACACAACGCTGGGCATGTGATACAACAGTGGTGGTGTGAGCATGACATAGTGCGGGATGTCTGACAATTAGCATAGATGTATGCGTGGCACGACATTGGACGTGTGATGCAACAACGGTGATGTAAACATGACATGGTGTTGGTTGTGTGATATGGTAGATATGGATGATTTGTGTATCAGTGTGATTTGGGATGTGGTGATAGAATATATTAACTTAATATTGGTGAAATTTAACTGGATGTTGGAAAAACTGTGATTGTATAATATGTGGCATTGAAATTATTTGTGAAAATTCCTAGTGTATTTACATATAAATATTTTCTTTTCTCACTATACATCTTGTGGTTGTTTTTAGGTGAGGAAAATTCGTACATGAGTGACATTCAAGATGCCAATAACCGAGTAAGGGTGTGCTCTGATAGTGTGACATCAAGGCAAAGAACTTATAGGACATGAACTTTATTGTATTTGAAGTTTACATTTATTTCTTTGGAACATTTTATATGAACTTTTATTTTTCTTAAACTTTGTTTCAATCATTACTTCTAAAATATTTGTAATAAGGTATGGAATTCAACATCAATCTAAAGTTGGATGGTGTGCTCCATAGCTTCAACTAATATTGACTACAAACAGTGATGTGGAAAAAAGCAAAGATGATCCACCCACAACAAGGAGGGTAGATAGGGATGGCAATGGGACATGATAGGTATGGATTTCATTGTACCCATTCTCATTTGCATTCCCATACCCTATCTTGACGGGTATAAAATTTGTATTTTCATCCTCATCTCTATCAGGTATCAGATACACCCGAACTCGCCCCATACCTATCTAAAATTTAATTAAATAATTTTTTTTAAAAAACCAAAATTTTAACATGGAGTAGCAATTATAAAATTATAGTAGTTAAGTTTAATTTGACATAAAATTTAAAATAGAGTAAGAATTACATAAATATTAAAAAATTTAAAAAAATTAAGTTTTAGAAATTTAAAGCGAATACGAGACATGTAAATATATACTCATCTCCATCCTCGTGCCTAATTTAATAAATCATGTATTACTTATATCTGTACTCATATCCGATCAAATCGAATATTCTATGTCAAAATCGTGAGGAACTCAGATACTAATCACAGTTATGAGTTTATTTATCATCCTTAAGGGTAGAGATAGTGGTGCAAGTGGGGAAGGAACGAAAGGAAAGGAAAGAAGCAACATAGGCAGGCGGAAATGGTGCAGGTGGAGGAAGTGAGGTTATAAAGAAACGAAAGGATGAGTCCCGGAGGAATGGGAGCGTGGCAATGCAACGGGATAAATAAGATTAAAAAAAAAAAAAACCTAGTAATGAAAGTGTACCATGAAACTAGATAAATCTAATGATTACGAAAAAATGGTCACTTATAAAAATGGTCCATGGCAGGCTCTGTTTAAAATTATATTTCTTTTTAATACATAATTAAAAATGAGAGTTTTTAATTTTTTTCTTCATCAAATACAACTAGTGATTAAAAAGAAAGAAAGAGAACCACCTTTTAGTAGTTCTATATTTTGTCACCAAATATTAATGTGTTTAGGTGGGTGGTGGTAAACTGATGATGGTGATATAGAGAGAACACATAATAATCTCATAAAAATATGTTTATAATTAAATTTTAATCTTAATTATTAATTATTTTTATTTATAATATGCATATATATATATATAAGTATTAACTATACAAAGATATTGGAGAAAAATATAATTTTTTTATAAGTTAAGAAATTAACTTATACAAATTTTAAAATATATTTTGGAAAAGTTAATATAAAATAGTTTTTATAAATTATCTTACTTAGTTTTCAGATATATATATA